GGCATTTCCGGTGGTAGTCATGTTACTTTGAGTTCACTGCTGACATAGTTACTGCTTTTGCCCAGGTCATTAAATGTAGGTTCAAAATTAATAGCTTTTGTATGTGATTTCTGATCTGATTCCTGTATTGTTTTATATGGTTATTTGTTCTCAAGACTTTTAATTCATTTTGTTCTCAAGGTTTTCATTCTTTCTTCGTGCCTGTCATATGTATGAATTGGAATTAACAAATTTCAGGTTGGAGATGTTATTTGGCTACCACCAGTATTGTAGATTGATCAAAAGACATACTTATTTTGTAAAAACACCTCACTGATAGTATTTGAATAGATCTCAATATTAAGGACACATGCGTTTTTGCCTTAGGCATAGGTTTCCTCTGCTTCTTACTGTAGTTTTAGTGTCACTAGTGGGAAAATATTTTAAATCAAATGCTGTTTTGATTTGAGAAACTGAGGAAGTGATACATGAAACTACATAGGGCTGCTGAATATGAACACAAAGTTCCAGTGTCCTTAACCTTAAAAGTATTAGAATATGGATGCCTTTAAAAGAACAGAGTGCAGTGGTAGCATAGAAAGTTGGATTTGTTTTACTAATGGCTGTTAGATTTCAGTATGTACAGTACAGTGAACTGTTGTCTGTGTTCTTACAGTGTTGATTTACTTGCCTTAAGCAGCAAATTAATTTAGACTCAATGCCTTTCATACAACTGTTTTGTATCATAATCTTCCTTGTTGTGTCACTTCATACTTGTTTCTAATTGCTTTCATGAAATTTGGAGAGTGTTCAAATCTTATTTTTGACTGGATTTCTGAAATGTTAAAAGTGGGAGGAAGAAAAATAAACATTCTTAATCCTCACAACAAATACAATTTTTGCAGATGACTGAACTTCTCTGAGCTGTAGTTAAGGGCTTCTTTGTCTGGTGGCAGTAAGATTCTCTTCCTGTTTTCATCCCTGTGTTATATAATGATTCATTTTCAAGTAAGTTTCATGCAATAGTGAATTTTAAAAAAAATCCTATAAAACCGCATTTGGTAGATTGTTACAGGACACAGGATTTGTTTCTAAAATGATATGAGTATATGCATATTCTTTTACAATTCTTTTTGTCTATTAATATATATGTTTTTTTTAATAGAGACTCCTGGGACACCAGCAGGAGATAAACAACTTAAAACAGAGAAATATTTTTTTAGATGAGGAAAATGTCCATTTGAAGAATGAATGCAGTAACTTGAACCAGAAATTTAAAGATAAAAGCCAAGAACTTAAGGTATATTGACTTGTACATAGTTTTATAAGACTGTAGCTTTGAAGTAGTTCTTTAAGCAATGTCAGCCTTTGTGGCACAGAAAGTGACAAGCTTGGAGAAAAAATTGCCTTAGGCCTTGCTATACCTCACAGTTTTTTCACACTCCAACTCTGAGGAAGATGCTTTAAAGCCAAGAATCCAAGCTTTATAACTTTCAGATAAATAGTTAATGATGGAAATGGAGCAAAGAAAGTAGGAGTGTGAAGATGTGGCTTCTTGTAATTAGATTCTGATGGGACTGGCATTATTAATTGATAAAGCCGAGGTCTGGGAGGATATGTCTGTGTGGGTCTCAAAAATAGCTGGGGACAGCATCAAAGGCAGCTTGATCAATTAATGGGCTCTTTGCAAATGTGTACTCATCAAAGCTGTCATCCAGCTAAAAAATATGACCCTTCCACCTGCATGAAAGAGGCCAATAAAAGTACACAGGTGACCTTGGCCATCAAATATAGAAGAAGCTGCTGTGAGGATAAAACTGCACAGTTTATATTTGCTGATTAGTTCTCACTTTTTTTTTGTTTATCGGCCCTTGTGGTACTGTTCTACAGGACACCGAGGAGTGTGCACAGAAGAAGGAAGAGCAAAAGAGGCTGGTTATAAAAAACCTGGAGGAGGAAAATAAGGGATTAAATACACGCTGTGCTGACCTGCTAAATGACCTGGAGAAACTGAGGAAGCAGGAGGCACAGTGGAAAATAGAAATATCTGGCACTGATACCAAAATAAAGGTACGAAATGGAATGGACTCCTGTATGTTATTTCAGAACCAACTTCTCTGGACATTTACACTACGAGTTATTTTCTTTAAACAACAAGTTATATATTCAAATCTACCAGTGGGGACTGACATTCATTTACATTCCTTCACTTAAGACCCACAGCTTTTTAAAAATTGATGTTGCAAAGCAGGAATCTGACTTCAAATAGTGATCTTAAAATGTAATCATTAAAAAATAACAGATACTGCATTTTAAGATAAAATACATATATATTATATAATAAAAACATAAAAGTATTATCATTCAGGATTTTTTTTTCTCAATGTGTAATTTACTTAACTATAATTTGATTGCGGTAGACTTGGTATTTGTTGTTTTGGAAGGAAGTTTAAAACTTTACAATTTATTCAAGACTACAGTTATCTTAGCCTCCAGAGGGCTCCACTCTGAGAGGTCTTATTAATGAATATAATATATTAAAATATTATTTTTACATTTTATGGTAAAATTAAAACTGAAATTATATTTTCTTCTGCAGAAATGCTGAAGAATATTACGTTTTTTATTTAAATGGGTTACTCCATCAAATTTGCTTTGGAATATTCTTTTTTAATATCCATAAGAGAAATAAGCCGTAGATATGGTATCCGTGTTTAATGGCTGCTTATGTGTTTATATAGTGTTCCTCCCCACCAGCTTGGCTAATGAACACTTACTCACTAAGCTATTTTCCTTGTAATATCAAATTACATGACCTTCTGGTGTATTCAGCATAATAACTATCTATTCAGCGTCTTGCACAGAGACATGTTTGGCTCCCACTTTCAAATTACTGGTTTTGGTGACACTTCTGATTGCTGTATTGATGTAAAGCCTCTGTGAAGAGTTTGATTCAAGTCTTTTAACAAGGGAGGTAATGTTACGGCAAATCAAGATTCTTAGAGTGGTTATGATGAAAAGATTGTAGTATCTCCAGGACACTGTGTGCTTTTTTGATTCTTGAGGGGGCTGAGAAGGGAGCAGGGGAAATCCACTAGTGTGTACTAGACTGATTTAATTTTCAAGCTGTCAAATGCATTGTTTGTAATATGTGATGAATTATTGAACATTACTATTATCCACACCGTCAGTGAAAATGGTCAGAATAATTTTTAATGCATCACTCTTCATGCCTGATGAGGTGTGGTCGTTGAAGAAATGTGTTCCACAGCCATTATTATAGAGGTGACAAGAGCAGTGTCAATGCTTCAGAGTGGGAACAGGAGATATCTGGATTGTGTCAGGGTGACTTCTTGAGATGTGTACTGTCAGAGCCAACTAGGAGTGACATACAGCAGGATCTACTGTTCACAAGCAAGGAAGAACAGGTTGGGGACCTGATAATCAATGGCAGCTTTGCTGAGATGAGATGAGCTGAGGAAGGAGACTAGTGTAGGAAGGAGACAGGTTTTAAGACAGGAGATCTGACTTTACTCAGGCAACTGATAAGTGAAAGTCCTTGTGATGTAGCTCTGAATGGTAGAAGAGCTCCAATCAGCTGGCAGGTCTTTGAGAGCATCTCCAACCAAAGTATAGTCTCAATGATCAAGAGAACAGTGATTGAAGGGCATAGGTAAGGCTGAGGTAGTTCATGTCTTTGCCTCAGCCTTCCCCAGGAAGGCCCTTCAAGCCTTTGTTCCTAGAGGCTGGATTGGTGGAGGGGTCGTACCAGCAGTGTATGAGCTGGGGCTTGCCTGGGAGAACATGTTCAGGCCAGTTGGAACAAATAAGGATCTAATGGTGCTCAAAAGCTGGTTGTGTCACTTTGAGGCTGCTGTCTATCATCTATGAAATGTTATAGTGACTGGGGGAGCATTCTGGTGACTAGATAAAAGCAAATGTTGAACCCATCTCTAAAGAAGGCCAGAGGGCTGACCCAGGAATCAATGGCTGGTCATACTCACTCCAGATCTTGGGAAAACCATGGAGAAAGTACTTTTCAAAAACATTTTTCTGGTCTCATGAAGGAAAAGGCAACTGAGGACATTCAGTTAGGGTCAGTCAAACCTGATAAACCTTATGACCTTTTGTGCTAAAATGTTTTATGGACAAGGTGTGGGGGGGTAGTGTGTCTCATACATCTCAACTCCCTGCAAGGTGCCAGACACTCTCAAAAGATATTCCTGTACCGCAGTTAGGATGTCACATCTTCATGGGTGGGTGGGCGTATTTAAATACTAAATATATTCAGGTGCAGATATGTTTGTTAACTGCCGAAACAGTTAGTTCCTGAGCGTTGCCGTTATTAGGCTGAACTTCACCTGCGGGCAGCAGAAGCTTTGGGTCCGGAGCTGCTCGCTGGCGCCGAGGGCAGGTCAGCATGGAGAGGTGCTGCTGGTCTGGCCTTCACCCTCGCAGC